TTTTGGGATGAAATTAGAATTAGTTATGACCAAAATAAAAATTGCTCTACAATAAAGAATATATTACAAAGTAATTTCAAAAATAATGATCTGATCAATTCCTTAGAAGAACCATGGCTTAGCTCATTCAAAGAAAATAGATTCTCTCTATTAGATGGATTAATTTACCACAGAATTAAACATACAAGTGTAGTAGTTATTTGTTTAAAAGAACACATTAATTTATTTTTGAAAGAATGTCACGACAATATATCCTCAGCTCATTTTTCCTTTGACAGAACAATTGAGAGAGTTAAACAAATTGCTTGGTGGCCTAATTTTAGAAATGATACCAAAGATTATTGTGAATCTTGTGATAGATGCCAAAAAGCCAATAAAGCTACAGGAAAAAGGTATGGATTATTGCAAGAAATTGAAGAACCCAAAGAAAGATGGTCTGTCATTAACATGGATTTTGTTACTGGCTTACCACCCGGAGGACCTAATAATTTTAATGCAATTTTAGTAGTAGTTGATAGATTTTCCAAAAGAGCCAGATTTCTACCGTGTCATAAAGAAGATACAGCAATGGATACTGCCTTATTATTTTGGAATTCTATTATTTATGATGTTGGATGTCCCAGATATATCATTACAGACAGAGACCCTAAATTTACGTCAGAATTTTGGAGAAATTTATATGATTTATGCGGGACACAACTGAAATTTTCTACAGCTTACCACCCCCAAACAGATGGACTAGCTGAAAGAATGATTCAAACTTTGGAAGACATGATCAGAAGATATTGTGCCTATGGAATGACATTTAAGGATAAAGACAACTATACTCATGATTGGTGTTCATTATTACCTGCACTTGAATATGCTTACAATTCTAGCAAACACAGTACAACAAATAAAACACCTTATGAATTGGAAAGAGGTTGGACTCCTTGGTTTCCCAAAGAAATTTTAATGTCAAAAGCAGTACATATACACCCAAGTGCCTCTGATTTTCATTTTATGATGACCAAAGCTGAAAAATATGCAGCAGAATGCGTGAAATTAGCTGTAGATTACAACAAAACTAGATGGGATAAAACTCACAAGGCTCACCAGTTTAAAGTTGGAGACCAAGTCTTGATATCTACATTTAATTTTACAAACCTGACTGGACCTAAAAAATTAAGAGATTCTTTTGTAGGACCTTTTACAATCAAACAATTACACGGTGCAAATGCTGTTGAAGTTATACTCACTGGAGAATTAGAAAGAAAACACCCTACATTTCCAGTCAGTCTAATTAAACCATACAAAACTAGTGATAATGATAAATTTCCTTTGAGAAAAGATAACATCAGAGTTGTAATACCTCCATTAGAGAAAGAAGAAATTAAAATTAAGAAGATATTACAACATAGAAAAATCAGAAAAAACAATGAGGACATTAAACAATATTTAGTAAGATACAGTGGTACCAAAGAAGATGAATGGCTTACAGTTGATAAAATACCTGATGCTGATAAAATTCTCAGACAATACAGAGCTGATAAAAGAAAATAACTTTAATTTATTTCTTGGATCAGCCTTTTTTAGAGGGAGGAAGTGTCAGCCACAGAGTACATGTCACAGTACCTTTCATGTACCAAGTAACTGCAACACCTGTACTTATGTACATAAGTACTTATCCATAATGTTGATTACCTTTACCTCTTGTTATCTTATCTTTATTATTAACTTATCTTATTTATCTTATAGTTATCTTATCTGTTAATTACTTATCTATTAAATACATACCTGTGTTCTACATAAGTAATTATCACTTACCTTTCACTCCCTTGTCCGTAAAATACCTGTACCACAAGTTATCCCTCTGCTACAGTATTTTCACGGTCAAATATTATTACAAATAAATATGTACATGTATTAAATAGTAAGTATTAAGTGTCAATAGAATTAATACATTCAATACATGCACTGATCACAATTATGACTACATTATTAGAGGATCTGTCAAGTGCAAGCATCAAGAGCAACTAGTACATTGATCAACTAGTACACAATTATGATGTCACTTACAGATCATGACAAATAATGATCAGTCACTCAATTGATGTGCTCATTCTCCTGGCCAAAGCTCCCTTGATTCTGAGCGCTCATTCTTTCCCCCCTTCAGTATTCTGGAACTTATAATCCGTGCCTCTTTCACTGATTAATCCCCAGAATATTCAGACACCAGTTAAACCAGTTAACATTTATATTGATACAGTACCCGTAACCAACATAAATCTTGTCTACATTTATTGTTCTTAAGCTTCAGTACTCTTACTCAACTTATCCACAGTATTCATAGCCTTGCTGAATATTCCCATCAACAATACCTGTTAATCTTCAACTAATTTTGTTAAAGCTTAATAAGTATTGTTAGCCCATTCCCTTTTGGGAATAACCAAATCAATCCCAGGTGAGTCTTAGTACCCTGGATGCCTATTAATACCTTGTATTGATCCGGATGCGCTGTTGATAGCAAGCCTCTCAGTAAAGACCATACTGATAGAGTGAAACCTCCTCTTTACAGGACTGGTATTAATCACCCACTACCTAACACTCACCACGCTCAAAAACTTCAGTCAACTCATAGTAACAACCTTTTTACTATTAAATACTCAGGTTAGTTACCCAGAGGCTGACATCTTTCTTGTCATGAATAACAACTTTTCCATAGTGGAAGAGTTTGAAATTCTTGGTAAGCTTCTTGCATTGGTCCAGTTTGGCATGTGTTGGGATACGGTCGGGATTTGGCCCCTGCATGTGAGGATAAAGCTCAAGTTTAATATAACGTCTGGAGGACCAAGTAATTTTATCTCGCGTTTTCTCGTTTGATCCGATTGTTTCTGAAATCGTTTTTCTTTGATAAGTATCGTCAATAGTTAAGGAGAATTCGCTCGTTCGCTCCTCTGCATGCTTCTTAGATCGGTTTTTCCTTTTCCTTTCGGCTAAGTAGGCTTTGCGATGAGCTGTCATGACGTCAAGGTGCGAAAAGTATACTACTATCACACTCAATCAGAAACAACACTCGTGCTAATCCACTTTTGGTGAGACAAACTGGGTTGTTAGGTGGAAGGTCGGTCGAGATTCAATAGGCGATTTATAGGCAAAGCAATCCAGAATATCAAGATGAATGTGGGTTGGGTGCTGTTGATCCTTTCAAAACTGAATTCTGTGAACGTTCAATTGATCAGAAAGAGATGCGGGGGTGTCGGTTTCAGTCAGCTTTATGAAAAGAGGAGGATGACTTGTAAAAATAAAATTGAGACAACATTCAAGTAACAGATTCAGAATTGATATCGTTAAAGACAATGGTTCCAATGTCTCTGCAAATCAAAAGCAATGCCTTTCTTGAAGAAGCTTGATGAGGTGCAAAGTTCGAAATATGATATTTCAAATTGAGTTGGAATCGAATCAATGATTTATTATCATTCTGGTGACTTACGACTCGGTCGAGTCGGTAATGTGTATGATAACATCGCAAGACGCTTACTTTGATTTGGATAAATCAAAATTGATCGTTTGCAAAACTGTTGTCTCGTGGGCTGGTTGTTTTTTGAGGTAAGCTGATTGGCAAACGAGATGTCAGGGAGGATCGAGCGTCTCAAGAAGGTTCCATCACGATTTACAAGTTCACAGACCACGGGCAAAAACAATCGACTATTACGCTGGTGTTTAAGCCGCAATCGAGTTTACACTTGTTGGTGAGGCCGGTGATGTGAAGTTCGGATAATTTGTGTTTTCAGATTCAGTTACTCGGGATTCATGATTGATGTTCAGTTGGCTTCATTGAGCTTGTGACTCACGGCAAGCCCAAGTAAGTAAGTCGTATTAAAAGCTCGCCTGACAACTTTGATAACTTGCACAAAGCCTATTTGATTGTTTGAGAGATTATTTGCTCAATCGTTCGCTATATCTCGAGAGGTGCCGATTGCAAAACCAGGAATCAAGAGAGATTGATTGTCTGACAATGAACTGCAAACACTTACAGGGTCAAGATTCTCTAGTAGGTTTGATTGTTGAGGGCGAGGAGATTTTAAGTAGTCAGGAAGTTTGGACGAAATGAGATGTGATAAGTGAGTAATCGGCCTACACTTAGTCTGATGATCTTTGCAGCTTACGAACAATTACCTTGATTGCTTATGATGTCGATGAGTCAACACTTGATTGTTTCAATGCGAGGTCTGACTGCGCTATGATGTCTTAGAGAGATTGGAAATACAAGTTCAGCCGTAAGCCTAAACCAATTGTTGATGGTTGACTGGAGGAAATTATCTCAGGTCAAATAACAGGTCGTTTGGTGATGAATCGCGGCAAGGGTGGGGTTGAATAGGTTATAGGTTTAGTCTGGCTCAAAGGTCGAAATGAAAACTTATGAGGCGGGAAAACCACTTGTTCTCGTAGTGAATGTGGCTTATGCATAATGCAAAGGGCCGGTTGATTTTATTCACCTTTGACTGATATCTAGAATCAGCTTCTAACCTCATAAAGGATCAACTTCGGCATCACGCTGTCCTCAATAAAGTGGAAGTCAGCTTAGTTTCTTACAGGTTTTAGCTCATTGACAACCCGTCAAACGTAGATTTAAGTTTTCTCGCTTTATGTTTTATTCTGACTGGAGAAGTAAGTTTACAAATGAAACGGCTCAGGAAAACATGAGATTGAACTGCAATACCAGTTTCTCAATGATTCTTAAGGTTTTTGTTCAACTGGTTAGCTTAATTGTTGAGCAACGGGTGTTTGCATGAGATGGCTATTTACAGTACAAAAAGATAAAAGATACAGATTTTCTATAGAAAGTACGGAGTGGAATTTAATGTTGACAGTTTGTAGGAAGTTGGAGTACTCCTTGTTATAAGATGAGGACGTTGTAGAAGGATAATACCTAGTCAAAGACACTTTGATCAACTATCGAGTGATGGGTGGTCGTTGAATGAGTGTAGAGCGGGATGTGACGGGTGTCGGATTTGTATTCAATTTTTCCTCATCCGTTTCGCGGCTTCTTTGATGATATTTTTACGTGGGCGGCCACGTTTTGCTTGTGGTGGTAGATTAGGTTGAACGTCGGTTTCACTTGGTTCCAATTCATCAGTTTCTGACAACTCCTCACTCCCACTCTCAATGTCAGATGGTGCTTTGGACTTTCCTTTTGCCGATTCTTTAGGTGTTGGGCCACGCTTTGCACTCATTAAGATAGGTTGAGCGGGTGATGTTAGTTTGGGAGCGTGGGAGGTTGAGGGTCCGCTTAATGAGGTATTTGTTTTCGGAAAGAATTTCGTGCTTCAAGGAATGGGAGCATCAGCTAATGTACTTGTGGATGGGAATCAACTTGTATCACACACAATTTTCTCCCTGGAATTAGTGATGGGGTGGATGTGGATGGGTTACTGGAGTTGGTACGGCCGATCTGATGTCCTGAGGTGACGGAAACCGATGACACCTAGCGAGTAGTAACAGTTCATCAGAGTTATCAAAGATGACTTGTGATATGGCATCTTACAACTACAACAGCCATATGGTCCTCCATATGAAAGTCGACCAATCGTCTGATGATGTTAATTTCACGGCCAATTTGGTATAATGTATGTGTTTTGACCAAGTTTTTGGTTCCGGGAACAATGTACTTCATATTGAAGCGTCGATGAACTCGCTCCTGATTTTGTTCAATCGTCAGCCATCTGGCAAAGAAGATGAAATGGAACGGAATCTCACTTGGCCATCCCAGTCACAATGAGCAACAACGACTTCTAAATGACTACCAGAGTCGGAAACATTGCTTGCAACTTCCCGCCGTGATATCACCATTCCGAGGCTTGTCACGATTGATTTGTTTGTAAAGTTTGGTTGCTCGGGACCTGTTGCACCAATGCGAATAACGGTATCCTGAAAGTAAGATAGAGTTGGGGTGGAGCCATCATTAAGGGCAAAGAGTTTGCCACTTAGAGCATAGATGGAATCAGCCATTAGTGTATTGTTGAGTGCGGTGTTTGTGACAAGTTCAACTTCGAAGTCTTCATTCTTTTCAAAGTTGACCCCGCTGTAGTGTGCCAAATGTGTTTCAAGTACCAAATTGCATAAAGTCATGATCCACTCTTGATAATAGGCTAGATTCTTGGTGTTATTATTACTTCAATAGATTCTACAGGTTATCTAACCCATAGTCACTCACTGGAACCACTAGGCTAGCTCCACTCAGTCAAAAGTTATTTGATAAATCAGTTTTTACTACAGTATAGTATAGTTGTCTTGGGTAGTACATAGTATAGATTTATATATAAGTGCATAGGTGCAATCTTTGTTTGTACAGGCATATGTATGATCACATGTTTAGTCACATGCTTGGATCACACGTATTTTCACATGACATCACCAGCCACATGCTTGGATCACATGTATTTTCACAACAGACCAGCAAAAATGCCTCAACATAGAAAGAACATTCCACAACACGTGTGATTTTCTGTATGGGGCAGTGCAGATCACATGACACACCAGCAAAAATGGCTCAATAGAAGCTTCCAAGCAGCAAAAATCCCTCAAAGAAGAAGTCACACCAGCATAAATCCCTCACAGGACGTCCTCACTAGCTAAAATACCTCACAATTTACTATATAAGGAGGTCATTTCTCCCTCCTCAGAGCAGTTCCTCATGCCAATCCGGCACATCTACCAGCTACACACATCCCACTCAGAGTCTTCAAGTCAACTTAAGTTAAAATCCAACAGTGTGATCTCAATCAGGTGGCCCATCAACAAACAGTGTGATCTCAATCAGGTGGCCCATCAACATCTTTCATACCTCAGGAAGCATAGAAGAAGTCAAGTAGCAAGTATCACCCCTTGTGCTCTTAACACGTCAAAGTGATCTTAACCCATTGGTTCTCTTAACTGAAGGTCAAGGAGGAGGGCAAAGACACTTTGACTAGTCATATTTTATCATCAGTCTTCTCTCAGTCTTTTTCATATCAACATTTACTTTACTTCACTCATATAAACATATAAAAACATACAAAAATATCTCCCAGCTTTTCAACTCTTTCCATTATCTGATTCCAGACTTCTGTAAACCACACCAAATTCTTTCTACTCAAAATTCCACTAAGTCTCAGCTGATTCCACGTTGATCTAGGTTTGATAAGAGACTACTACATATAGTTTTCTCCATCATCAGTTTTTTTTTTTTGCCACAACAATAAAATAAATTTGTTGTCAGAATCCTAGTGTAGTACATTAGAGGGGCAGGTCTTTCAAACCACCCGTAACAGTTGTAATAAATTCATACATACCTGAAATATCATAACTGCTATTTCCCCCTCGCAGGACTGCCATCCATCCCAAAGGAGTTCTCACACCGCCGCATTGGAAAAAGCTGGGAGTTTTAACATAACCATACTGGTTTGCGCGTACGGAATCGGCAATGGACTAATAAGGAGAGCTCAGTAAAGGGACAAAGGGTGAAGTAAATGGTGACTCACATCAGTTATTGGTTGGAAGTGACCGTTGAAGGTGGCCGGTGTGGTGCACTATCCGGTACACGCGGTGTCAAGATCAAAATTTGCGATGGTGCGCGGAAGACCTCAATACGCGTGGAGGGTCCATTTTCCTTGGCGTGGCGCGTGTCAGGACTTAATCTCTCTGGATAGCGCAGCTTTTTTTCTTCTTCTTTTCCTCCATGTAGTGTTGTACCCATTTTCTTATTTTCTTTCTTTTCTTATTTCTACCCTTGTGGGTGTTTTGTTTTTTATCTGCGTGTGATGGATGGTCTGGCTATGTGGTGGATTAGTTTTGTTTGAGTTTTTTTTGTTCTGTTTGGTTTTGTTTTGGGTTGTGTTCCTTTTTGTCTGTTTCCTCTCTTTCTTTTGTTTGTTGCGCGCGCGGGGCATGATGAGCTGTCCCGCAGCATGTCACAACCCCAGAGTTTAAGTTCAAGCTGAACTTAGACGATGGGGCGGCATGGGATTAACTCTGAACCGAAATTTTCTCATCGAATATCATTACATCTTAAATCATCTGCGCCCTCTAGCGCCGTTCTCCTGAAGCTTATTGATCCCGACTATTTGTCGTACCCCCCCTTTTTGAAGATCACTTCATCCTGAGCTCTGCTGATTTCCTTCAGTTTTTTCTCTACCCAACAAACAAACCCGCCGACGCGCACTCAACGCCGTCGTAAATCAAACCTCCTTCCATACTTCATCGCTCAGATCCCTCATCCTCATTTTCAACCAATCCCCGGAGGGCAATCCCCAAACTTTTCCCCTCCAACAACTGCCTACTGCCTGGCACGGTAGGAGTTTCACATTTGGTCCCCCGAGCCGGGATCGAACCAGAGACCTCAAGATTTACAGTCTCGCCGATTTTCACGGTTTCGAGACGCTTGGCGGTCTTCTTCTTTTTTTTTAGGTTCTCTTTTTTTTAGTGTTCAGCGGCGGAGGCGTAGGAGCGTAGAAGTAAGTCCTCCCAGTTTGTGCACCTCCAGGGCGTCTGCTACATAAGTCAAAGCATTACTTTAGCCACCGCTGTGAGCCACTCAAATTCGTCGCATCTTCTTTTTCAATCAGGTTTTTTTTTCTCTCGCTCGCGATGGCCGACACAGAAGTAGGTGCAAGGCGCGTGAAGATCAAGCCTCAGGACAAAGGCTTGGGTTTCGACGGCACACATGTCGAGCGCTTTCTAGCGGACTATCAGCTGGCCGCAGACTTGGAAGGCGCGTCGGAGTTCGACATGGCGCAGCAAGTGCGTTTCTTTGTGTGTAAGGTCGAGGTCAAGGACGTGTTGGAGACTCTTGACGGGTACGACCGTATTGGGGCCAGGTCACCACAGCACGTTTCACTTTGCCGGATTTAGAGGCCTTGGCTCAGTCGTGGATTGCTAAGGGCGGGGTCTCGTCTGTGGTGGACTATCAGGACTTTTGGCGTGTCTGGGAGCCGATACAATCCTATCTTCTTCGCAAAGCCCATATCGATTCGGTGGAAGAAATTCGGTCTCTCTACTATCGATTGCTGTCAAATGGAGTCCAGGAGCGCGTTAGAGATCAACTTATCAAGGCCAACACTATGATCACTACCCTTGATAACCGATTTAAGCTTCCTACGTTTGAGATCTTGAAGACCGCGGTCGCGGAGGTTATGAAAGGCCAAACGGCTTTGACTTTTGAAGGCGCAAGGACTTCTTCACCTGTTCCCGCAGGTCCTTTTCAGCAGGCCAACGACGTCATGCGGAAGATTGAGCAAGATCGCCGCCCTAAAGCGCCCGCCGCGTCAGAGAAGCCACCCGCTACCATCGACGACATCTCCCAGATGCTGCAATCTTTTGAGCAGCGCTTGGAGAAGAAATTCGGTGCTCAGTCTCCCCAGTCCTCTGCCAAGGTACCGCCGGCGGAGCGCGGTCCTTTGGTTTGCTACTACTGTCACCGTGAAGGGCACGGTACCGGACGATGTTTCGAGCTGAAGAAGGATAAAGAGGCCAACCTGGTGGAACAGAAAGGCAATAATTTCTTCCTGCCCAACGGGGCTCTTATTCCTTTTGATTCTTCGCGGCCAATTCGACATGTGGTCGCGTCGTTTCCCTCTCAACCTTTGGCTAGCGTCGCCACTCCTGAATTTCGAGCGGCGTGTGGCTCTCTAGATCCTTGGTACCCCCCCGTCTGTTTCTTTGCAGAGCTTTTCTGGAACCTACGAGGCGGATCCTGCGCGGCGCAAGCACGAAGCGCCTAAGCCGCATAAGGCACCAATAGTTCCGCCCTCGGCGGCTCGACGTCCTGCCAAGAAAACATCAGCACGTGATTTGGATTCAGGCGAGGAGGGATCAGACATGGAGACCGAGCTCTTTGAACGTACTCCGGCCGCCCCATCTTTTGATCCAGCTCCCGAAGAGCAGGCGGGGCCAGATCAACCGGCCAAGCCAGCATCAGTTTCTCCAAAAGTCCGGTTCGAGCGTGGGATCGCCAAGGACCACCCCAACGCCGTCGAGGGCGTACTGAAGAAGATTTCTGGTCTCAAAGTCCCGGATTTGTCTGTCTCGGAGCTTCTAACGAACTCCAAGTTCGAAGTTCGTGACATGTACGTAACAGGCTCTCTACATATGTAATCTCCCCAGTTCCAGTCCTCTACAGCTCATAACACTATCCCCCCTTTAATGCCCAAGCCGCCCCCGTTGTTGTTCCAGAAAAAAAATTTAACTATGGATAAAAAATAAAATAAAATAAATTCCTCCTCTTTTGGCTCTGCATTCTTTCCCCGGGCAGCGTCAAAAAACCCAGTGGGAAAAAGCTTGCCCTCTCACTTCATTCTCCGTGACCTCTTGTGTCTTGACGCCGCATCCGGAAACTTGATGTTGAATTCAGCGACCAGTTCTCGACAGTGTTCTAAGTTGACCTCGGGTTCCCACGAGTTCTCCTCCGGTCCAAAGCCTTTCCAGCTGACCAAGTATTCGACCTTCTTCCCTCTTCTCCGACAGTCCAGTACGCCTTCCACTTCCCACTCCTCCTCATTGTTGACCTGTACTGGTTCTGGTGATGGATGGCGCCTTCCAGTGATGGTGTCCGGGTTGTGCTTCCGCAGTACTGAAACATGAAACACCGGGTGAACACCCTGCATGGATAATGGCAAAGTCAGCTTGTACGCAGATTGGGATATTTTCTTAGAAATTTGGAATGGTCCCAGCCATTGGTGGTCCAGCTTGGGGCTGGGTCTTGTTGTCGAAATATTCTTGCTGTTCAACCAAACCTCCTCGCCAACGTTCCAAATTGGGGTGTCCTTCACTCCTTTGTCGAATTGGTTCTTCATCGATTCTTGAGCTGCTTCTAGACATAACTTGAGTTCTGACTGGACTTCATCAATTTGTTTGAGTCGCTCTTCAACCACTGGTAGACACTGTTCACTTGATGGGATCCCGCCGTATGAAGGATTGAAACCGTAGTTTGCCTTGAACGGTGAGACTCCAATTGAGACATGATCATTGTTGTTGTACGCAAATTCTGCCATCGCCAAAAGGGGTTCCCAGTTGTCCTGTCGGTACTGAACAAAGTGCCGTAAGTACTGCTCCACCGCCTTATTTGCGATTTCGGATTGTCCGTCAGTTCAAGGGTGGTAGGCAGTCGAAGGGTGGAGCCGGATTCCAAGTTGCTTGTCCAATTCTTGTGTGATCTGAGAGATAAAAACACTTCCTCTGTCCGAGACAATTGTCTTTGGTGTGCCGTGGAGTTTCCAAACCTGTTTCAACATAAGATCTGCAAGCTGTTCAGAGTTCATGGACTTGTTGCAAGGAAGAAAGTGGGCCATTTTAGTCAGTCTGTCAATCACAGTGAGGATACTGTCACAATTGTTGGATAGGGGGAGGTCTGTTATCAAATCATAGCTGATGTCCGTCCACGGGCCTGCAGGGATGGGCAACGGTTCCAACGTCCCAAATGGTTTCTGGGTTGAGGATTTGACCCGAAGACAAGAGTCGCAGCCATCCACGTAGTGGTTGACAAAGCTCTTTATGGATGGCCACGTGAAGCTGCGGCGTATCAGCGAAAGCGTCTTTGATCTTCCTGGGTGTCCTGCTAACTTGCTGTCATGGCGGCTCCTCAGAATTTTGGTCTTGAGGTCTTCATTCCGTGGTACTTCAATCCGTCCGCTCCTGTAGAGGACTCCTTCCTTCACCGAGTAATGCTTGGTGGCCTCCTTCATTCGACTGGACACTGGGTTCTCACAGGCTGAAATCAATTCGGTCAGTCTGGAATCAGATGGAGTCAGAGATCGGATTTGGCTTATCAGTTTGCTGTCTGTTGGAATATCCTCTGACGGAGTGTTGGGCTCCTCCACACCTAGAATGTCCACTTGGAACCAATGTTCGGCGTCCTCCAGATCCACAGACTCGTCTTCAAACCAGCAGTCAAATTCAGCCACTTCAGCGAAAGTGTCGGGGGTGATGTTCTCGGGTTGCAAAAGTTGTCCAAAGGTGAGCTTGTCCTCCTTCGAAGGCGCCAGGTCGGGTCGTCTGGACAGAGCATCCGGTTTGGATGACTGTCGGCCTGGTCGGAAAACAATCTCGAAGTCGAAGCATCCCATGGTTTCGGCCCATCTCGCTTGCCTCCTTGTCAGCTGCTTGGTTGTCATGAAGATTTCAAGGTTCCGGTGGTCAGTGTAGACAATTGCTTGTAGTCGATTCGGGTTGCCCTCTAGATAGTGACACCATTCCTTGAAAGATGCCACAATTGCCAGCAATTCCTTGTCAAAAATCTCATAGTTCTTCTCAGATTGGACCAGTGATCGTGATAAATACGCCACCAGGTGAAGTTCCTGATCCTTGTCGCAGATTTGGGATAAGACGGCACCGAGTGCAAAGTCCGAGCAATCACATTCAAGGACAAAAGGCCTGTACGGGTTGGCTATCTTCAGTACTGGCGCCGTGGTGAACGCGGTTTTCAGAGTTTCAAAGGCCCTGTTGCAACAGTCGTCCCAGACGTAGGGAGTTTTGTCCTTGGTCAATTCGTGGAGAGGTAGGGCTATTCCTGAAAAGTGGTCAATGAATCGCCGGTAGAAGTTTGAGAAGCCGATAAAACGCTGTAGTTCGGTCACATTCTTGGGCGGTGGCCATTCGGATACAGCTTTGACTTTAGTCGGGTCCATCCTCAGCCGGTTACATGATATCAAAAGTCCCAAGTATTCCACTTCTGGTCGAGAGAATTCACATTTTTCCGGTTTCAGCCAAAGTTGATGCTTGCTAAGTGTCTCCAATACTCCCATGACAGCCGCTTGGTGGTCGGTTCCCTTCTGCGTGTAGATCATGATGTCGTCCAGGTAAGCTGCCGTGTCCTTCCCAATCCGTCCCAACAGGATGTCTTGCTTGAAATATTGAAAGTAGCCTGGTGCTCCTGTTGGTCCAAATGGCATAGTCAACGGTGCGAATTGTCCTTGTCGACAGACAAAAGCCCGCTTCTCCTCGTCACCCTCCGCTACACGTAGATTTCCGTACGCGTTTCTCAGGTCTAGCTTGGTGAAAGTGTTGGCGTCGAGTAGGCTATCAACCAGGTCCATCGTCAGAGGTAGGGGGTACTTGTTCTTCACGGTAACCGCATTGAGCTTCCGGTAGTCGAAACACGGGCGTAAGTTGCCGTCTTTCTTCCCGGTGAACAGTACTGGTGCTGCCCAGGGCGAAGTGGTTCGTCTGATGGTGCCGTTTTCTAGTCCTTCAGTGATCAGGGTGTCTAGTGCTTGGTTTTCGTCGGGTGACAGGGGAATGATCCTGCTTGTTTGGGGGGAGGGGTGGGGAAAGAGCATGTTGAAAAATTCTGAAAGGTGAAAATGATGAGCCTGTGGGTTTCAGAAAAAATTGGAGGGCCTGATGCCTTCCCTCTATGCCTTCTGTCAGCCACAGAGTACATGTCACAGTACCTTTCATGTACCAATTAACTGCAACACCTGTACTTATCCATAATGTTGATTACCCTTACCTCTTGTTATCTTATCATTATTATTAACTTAACTTATTTTATCTTATATTTATCTTATCTGTTGATTACTTATCTATTAAATACATATCTGTTTTGTACATACGTAATTATCACTTACCTTTCACTCATGTGTCCGTGAAATACCTGTACCACAAGTTATCCTTGTTCTACAGTATTTTCACGGCCGAATATTATTACAAATAAATATGTACATGTATTAAATAGTAAGTATTAAGTGTCAATAGAATTAATAAATTCAATACATGCACTGATCACAATTATGACTACATTATTAGAGGATCTATTAAGTACACGCATCCAGAGCAACTAGTACACAATTATGATGTCACTTACAGATCATGACAAATAATGATCAGTCACTCAATTGATGTGCTCATTCTCCTGGCCAAAGCTCCCTTGATTCTGAGCGCTCATTCTTTCCCTCCTTCAGTATTATGGAACTTATAATCCGTGCCTCTTTCACTGATTAATCCCCAGAATATTCAGACACCAGTTAAACCAGTTAACATTTATATTGATACAGTACACGTAACGAACATAAATCTTGTCTACATTTATTGTTCTTAAGCTTCAGTACTCTTACTCAACTTATCCACAGTATTCATAGCCTTGCTGAATATTCCGATCAACAATACCTGTTAATCTTCAACTAATTTTCTTAAAGCTTAATAAGTATTGTTAGCCCATTCCCTTTTGGGGAATAAACAAATCAATCCCAGGTGAGTCTTAGTACCCTGGATGCCTATTAATACCTTGTATTGATCCGGATGCGCTGTTGATAGCAAGCCTCTCAGTAAAGACCATACTGATAGAGTGAAACCTCCTCATTACAGGACTGGTATTAATCACCCACTACCTAACACTCACCACGCTCAAAACTTCAGTCAACTCATAGTAACAACCTTTCTACTATTAAATACTCAGGTTAGTTACCCAGAGGCTGAAAATTGGGGGTCTGGCCTAATTGGAATTCCGTGACTAACATATCTCCTTGCTTCTCTTAACCTTTTGTCCCCAAAACATTTAATACTAACAATGGCCTTCTGAAGAACAAATGCCGGAAGTTTTGCCATTTATTAGACAAATTGATAGTACAATTGCAGAAGAAGCTAGTAGATATTACCACAGCCACCCGGATAACATTACAGCTATTGAAAGAGTAGAAAAAATAAAAGTAAAAGAAGCAGAAGATAGATTTTGGAACTACATAGAAACTAAACATTACCATTGTACCCTTCACTCTACATACTCCCCTGACTACATACTCATAAATCGTGTAGAAGAGGACGTGTCCATAATAGAAAAAACCGTAGAAACCAACAGAAATAACTTCTTTACAGCACTAGAAGAAACCCCAAAATATAGAACTCTTCCTACTAACATATTGTCTAGAACAGTCCGCTACTTTTCTCTTCCACCTTTCACTGCTTGTTCTCCGCCTCATCCCAACTCTATAATCATAGACCTCACGGATTTAGAATAAATTAGACTTGTTTTTATCTCATCTCATCTCAATTTCTTAGTATCAGCAATAAAAACACCAAAAAAACACAAAAATAAAATTCTTGCGCTATCTGTTCCACTCCTCTCGTGCCACAAAAATCACAAAAATATTTCATTATATTTCTATTTGATTCGTCCACACAGAAAAACTTAAAAATCCTTAAAAAATATGT